GTAGTGTTGGATGAGTTCATTTGCTTTGCTGGTGATATTTACGATCTTTGAGCATGAGGAATGCCTTTTTTTCAGCAATGTTTCCCATGCTTTTGAAGTTGAGACTATAAGCTTTCCTAGCTTTTCTACAGCTCCACTCTGTGTAAGCGTTTCAGTCATTTGTAAGAAAGTCTGTGGGGGATATATACTAAAATTACTTATTTAAGTTACCCCCTTATTTTTCACAGACTGTTATTATAGGGCGTAGGTGGTGAGAGCATGAGACAAAAGGGCTAGTGGCAAAAATAATAGTTAAGAAAGAGTATTTTACCGTTTCTCAAACATGCCCCATCGATGATCCTGACGTCGTCTAAAGCAATATCTCCTGTATTACTACTTCCTACAATTCCTTCAAACACTATCTGGAAGGCACTCTTTGTTTCAACTGACATTTTTCCAAGTCGCCAAATGTTTCCTTGATTGTTCTTATTTGTCCACGCAGGTGCACCAACGGTACCTTCCTTATTGACTAGGTACACATTCATTGTATTCACTGTGGCCCCGTACATGTGGTAAAACCACTTGACGCATGTGCCATTTGTTGCAGGAAATGACAATGTCCAAAGACGAGCGGTTTGGTTGATATATCGCGGATATGAAGTTTCGATGTACATGTAGGAACCTGTAGGCCAATGATTAAATATATGTTTTAGTTTAAGAGATATTGTTGTAATATCTCTTTGAAGTTTATTTTATTTATTTCGTTTGTAGTTTTAGAAATATTTTCATTAAGAATTTACAATTTCATTTAGGAAATTTAAATTCATGTCAGCTTTTTAATACCTTGTAATGTTCCGTAGGTGTGGTCATAAGCAGGGCCAGTAGCAGATGTGAGTGTTGATCCAGATGTTCTTATCCAATCAAAATCATCATATTTATCTTGTTCAAAGTAACAGATGTGTGGATCTTCAAAATCACATTGGTTTTTTGCTGAAACAAAAATTCCAAGACAAAATTAATTAACTGATTGTAATTGCATTGGTTAACACAGTAACAGGAACCCGAAGTACAATAATTCGTAACTTTGTTAGAAAAACATCTTATCTAAATTTGCAAAAAATTTCAATACTAAAAAAAAAACACTTTCTAAATTTCACTCACATTAAGTCAAACCAGTATCCACAACACATTGTTTCATAATGTTATTGGTATATATTACCAAAAACATTTTAGTTTTGAAACTTTAAATTTTACATTACTTAATTAGCTTCTTAAAAATTGTATTACTGGTTCATGCAATTTCTCGTTTGAACTAAAGACGACACCTTAACACCTTGAAGATTTACAATTTCAATTACATTTCATTTTTTAATTCCATTTTACTTTAATAAATATCTTCTTTTCTGACTACAATAATATTATTATTTTTCCAAGTTTTACAGCACATAGCCAAAGATTTTAAGGTAAATGATTCAAACCATGTCATTGAATAATGCAAGATTACTTATGTAAATTTAAAATGGTTAGATAATAAATCCTTAGTCTCTATACTATTTTTTGTTTAATAATAATAATAATAAATTGTTAATTTTTATAGCGCAAATAAATGAGGTCTCTATTCGCCCAACAATATTGTGGACAAGAAACAATAAAAAAAATAAAAAAATAAAAAATAAAAATCAATAAACACCTAGCTAGTACCCAAACCGAAGTATGGGGTTATACCATCACCGGCATCTGGAGATCTGTGTTTATGTACTCCAGTTAGCATCAGTTAAGTCTTGATCTTTACTGGGATCATTAGTAAAATAAATAATAGAATAAGAAGAATATACATTATCTCAGTTTCAAACTGAAACTTAGTACTGATGTTGACATTGATTTTTTAATATTCATTCTATTAGCCTAGATTTATGCATAATATTTACAGTCTTTTCAGAAACTGATCATGTTGTATACATTTTTAACCATGTTCTGCACACTAGGTTTAGTATCATATTTAGCTCAATACGTAATGCACATTATTTATCACTGTAAAAACTTACATATATTGCAAGTTGGTCCAAAAAAACCAGACACACACTGACAGTTCTCGTTTCCGTAATCCGAGACACAGACTCCGCCGTTCAAGCAGTCAACATCACAAGTTTCTTCAATTAGAAATTGAACATTAATTAGTGACATACTCTGTTTGTATTAAAATAACCTCATTGCTCATCACAATACTTATTGTATAAAATTATTATTGTTATGAAAATCGCATTTGTCTTTATATATACATTGATTGATATACATTGATTATGTAAGCGATAGATTATTGGCGGTGCTTTTGAGCCAGCTTAATACTAAGACTTTTGAAAATTGATGTAGGAATATAATAGTAGTTCTATACGTATATGTTTAAATTATATAACGCATGACATGATGACTATTAAATACAGCTTAGAGATCAAGGAACATAATATAATGTACATACGTAGAAATAATATATATTTATATAGCATATACCTGCTATACCATGCCTATACCAACTATAAGAAATTACAACACTCAAAGCATGAAGCAGCCAAACGCTAAACATCATAAAAATGAAGGATGAGAAGTGCATTAAAGATTTCGGGGAAGTATTCAATCAAAAGTATGAACAAGTAGAATTGCTCAATGAAAATACTGTATATAACAGATGTGGTACAATCTGAGAGCAGTGATATAACTCAGCACTAGAAAGCTTTGGAAAGAAAGCAAGACGTGATGAAGAATGGTTTCAAACCTATTCACCTCAGCTCGAACCTTCGATCAATGCAAAGATGCATGCCTATACCAACTATAACAGGCATGCAACTCGCCAGAACCTTCAAATACTATTACAAGGCAAAGTGTGACCTGCAAAGAACTTCTCGGCATTATGCTAACTTATATTGGACAAACATGTGAAGGAATATAGCTGCTGATAACGGAGTGTTACGACACACTTCAGAACAGAAGGAATCGCACAAACAGGCAACTGATAAAATTTAGCACAATTTATTATAGTGGGTACTTTCCCTTTTCATGAAAATACTTTGAGCAAAGAAGAACACTAGATTTAAACAATTACGGAGTACCGATGGCAAATGACTAAGTTATACAAATTACCTAAGTCACCACTGATAATTATACATCTAGGCATAAGTTCACACCAAGCAAATTTACAGGTGATGAGGTGACTTGGTCAAGTTCTGATTAATCCGAATGTAATTGTCCGCTAAAAATTCCACTAGTGATCCAAGTTTATAAGCTGAAGTAAACAAAAGCGTGATGGCTGATGATCCACAGGCGAACAGGCAATAACCTATTGTGTTAGTGATCCCACGACGAATCCCAAAGATGTTTGACAAATTGTTTACAAAGTTCCATAATTGTATCTGTCCAAAACTATGTATATAGGAGAGTAATTCCAACAAGTACAATAATAATAAAGATGTAAACAAGTTTCCAAGTGTCCTTTGAGAATTCCACATAAAACTAGATGTAATATCAGATGATGATTAGCTAGGCCTAGGATTCCATCACCGATCCCAAAATAGCCTATATTCTCACCTACCAGCGTACCGTCCCCGCACTAGCCAGCGTTATCAATCTTTCACGAGAAGATTATCAAAACAAAAACAAACTCCTTTCTCCTGGGGAATTCTGTAACTCTTTTTGGTTGCAAAAAGCCCTTCTTGTCCTTCTAGAACATTCTAGGGTTTACTGTCGCTAATTACAACTCATCACCGAGCCAGTCATCACTTTTCGTCAACCAAGACCCCTCGCATCTCCTAATTCCGCTCGCTTCTCCCACAAAGTTCTAAAAAAAATTCTTACCTCACTCATTGATGTCAATGACCTGGGGTCACTATTTTGTGACATACTTTTAGAACAGAAATCCTTTGACTAAAACAAATCAAATAGCAAATATTCTCTACACCTTCTAACTATAAATGTTAGGGTATAATACCTTATAGGCCATCATCACAGGAGATGCAAGGAACATGTATGATGGTATTCGAAAAGCGCTTGGACCAAGGATAGTGAAGGTATCACCACTGAAAGCCTCCGATGGATCTATGCTGATAGACAAGATCAATCAACTGGAAAGATGAGAAGAACACTACATGGACATTTATTCCAGGGATGCTCCAATCGACAAGAGAGCTTTAGATGAAATACCTCGCCTCGAGCAAATGCATCATCTTGACTCAGAGCCTGATATTGAAGAACTCAGCAGGGCTTTAGACACCTTGTTTAACAACCGAGCACCAGGGACAGATGGTATACCTGTCTCTTATACACATCTAGATGTGTATAAGAGACAGTTGAAGAACTCAGCAGGGCTTTAGACACCTTGTTTAACAACCGAGCACCAGGGACAGATGGTATACCATCAGAACTATTGAAAGCTGCTAAAAATGCTCTGATACTACCTGTATTCAATCTACTAATACAGTGCTGGATGACTGGAGACATTCCACAAGATATGAGAGATGCTCTTATTGTTAATCTATAAGAACAAATGTGATTGATCAGACTGTAACAATTACAGAGGAATCTCACTCTTGAATATAACTGGAAAAGCAATCGCAAAGGTCATAGCACAACAATTACAACATGTTGCTGAGTGCATATACCCAGAATCCCAGTGCGGTTTTTGTGCGAAAAGATCCACTAATGACATGATATTTTCCTTGAGACAACTATAGGAGAAGTGTGAGAACAAAGAAAACCTCTATATATTGCCTTTGTGGATCTTACAAAGGTCTTTGATATGGTGAATAGGGAAGGCCTCTGGATGATTCTTGAAAAAATTGGTTGTCCTCAAAAGCTCCTTCGGTTAATTAGGCTTTGATTTTACAGTATTCATTCAAAGAAGTGAGGGAGGGTATTTACCTGCACACACGTTCAACAGGAAAACTCTTCAACCTTTCAAGACTGAAGTCTAAAACCAAAATTTCTACAGTCCGTGTTAGAGAACTGTTGCTTGCTGACGATGCAGGACTTGTCTCACACTCCAATAGTGGACTGCAACAACTGATCACTTGCTTCAAAAATGCATGTGGAAAATTCTTCTTGATGGTCAGCTTAAAGAAGACAGTGGTAATGTCAAAAGGGCCTGAAGATCCGCCATCAATAAGGATGAATGACACATACCTGGCGGTTGCTAACAAGTTTAGCTACTTAGGCTCAACAATATCACGTAATCTTTCTCTTGATGAAGAACTGTACACGTACTGTATAGGGAAGGCTGCGACAACATTTGGTAGACTGACTGAATGTGCCTGGACTAACAACAAATTAACCTTAGCCACAAGAATAACCATATCAAACATATGTGCAAAGTGTATTACTCTAAGGAAGTGAGACATGGACCTTATATTCCAGTCAAGAGAAGAAACTAAACAACTTCCACTTCAGGTGTATACGTCGAATCCTGAAACTGAAATGGCAAGACAAGGTCACAAATGCAGAAGTTTTGAGAAGAACAAAGTCACAAAGTATGTTTGCAATCATCAAACAGAAAAGATTGACATGGCATGGACATGTACATCTCTTGCCTGATGGACGGTTACCAAAAGACACCATGTATGGTGAACTGACTTCAGGAACAAGATCTTTAGGACAACCCAAGCTACGTTTCAAAGACATATGCAAGACCTCCACACCTTCAACATAGATCCTAATACATGGGAAGTACAGTATTAGCAGAGAACCGAGGAATATGGTGAAGAACATTTGAAAGTGCTAAATTCTGAAAAGAGAAACGATTAACTAACGACCAAGTTTACGATGATTATCTGTGTGAGAAGTGCCAAAGGAGATGTAAATCTAGAATAGGTCTAATCAGTCAAGAAAGGAAATGTCTCAAGACAAATTAAATAAATAATCTATACATTAAAGGAAAATAAACAATATGAATAAATTAATATTAATTATTAATTATATAGTAAAACAATGCTTCAAACATACACAAAACACATACAGCATTCATTGTGTCTGATGTGGATGCATCTTTGCCATCGTCTGTCCCAGATGGAAGGTGCCATAATATATAATTAGATACTTTATTCACAGTGAATTGTTGAGTATGAAGGATTTGATATATTGATGTGTGTGTGTGTGTGTGTGTATGTATGTATGTATATATCAAACCATTTAGCAGATTTTACAAGTGATTATACAAGGCGCTGCCATCATTATTTCCCTGTTTACTGGATACTGAATTGGCAGATCCACCCATTATGCAACTTTTTCTGCTCCCTAGAGAGTATCCCTGTTCATTGCTGCTTGAACACGCACAACTCTTTTTATATGCCATACCATCCTACAAGGTTCCCATTTACTACTAGAAAGTTCAACGCCGAAGTAGTGTATAAACTCCGAAAAGTTAAGAGCAATTATTCAAAAACAGATATTGGTTTTGAAAAGTTTTAGGGTAAGTAATTTAAGAGAACAAAGGATCCAACATATTAACATATTTTATCCTCGCCGTAACTTCCCACAGTAATGTTAAACATGTCGTCTGAATTTTTCTTAGTCCATGTTGAGTAAATAAAATCTGCTTTGTCTTTAGAGATTCCAGTGTGCTTTTGTGCGTACGAGATATCGTCTGTTAACAATATTTGTGATAGATAATTAGAGTTCCACAATGTTAAAAGATATGGACTTCTTGGTTTGTGCTGGATGGGTTTAAATCATTCTGTGACAGAAATGGTGTTTTTCTATTTCTTTATTTGTGTTTTTGTGAGCCGTTCATGGTTTATCCGGTGGAGAATGGTCTTGCTTATGATTTTTGATGGGTTTAAGAGTCTACAGTTGTAAAAAGTTTTCGTTATAGTATTTGAATGTTAATGTTATGAAAGTTTTCTT